GTCTTCTTCTCCAAGAGACTTCTTCAGTCTGATGAGTTTCAGGTGAAGTGGAAAACTTTAAAATCCAAACTGATATTTTTAAGGGAAGATACTAGTTTCCTGTTCCCCGTGCTTTTGTTTCCCGTCAGTCCGTCATGTACCCAGAATGCATCGCTTCAGTTTTCTAATAAACAGTTTTAAAATTACTTTATTGATGCTTCTTTAATGAAAAATCTACAACAAACAAAAGAAAAAGACAAAGAAGTAGCTGGACTAGCAATCCTCAACAACTTTTTAAAGAATCAGCTGAACTAGCAATTCTCAACAACTTTTTAATTTTTACACCAGGAGCCAAAGTTCTGTTTCAGGAAATAACATCCCCAGCAATCGGCGGTTGTAGAATTAAGTTGTTAAAGCGTTCATACACCGCTAGTTGGCAGTGTTGTGCATATATTGTACAAGAATTGTCAGCTAGTAAGTGTCAAATTGAACTTGCGCTTTAAAATTAGCTTCTGCTAGTTTTTCTACAGCATAAGTGGTTTTGAAGTTGCGGACCTAAATGTTTTTATAAGCACTTTAGAAATTGCGGAGCTAATTTTTGGATTAGCGCTACCCACCACTGATTGTTTTGCCTCTTTTTGACCTGTTGAAATTACTTAACAGTTTCCTACATTTAAAAGCCATTTTATTGGGCAGAACATGTTACAGTTATTTTGCTTTGTACGTGATGACATAATGACACAATGACAATCATTACTCTGCCAGTTGAAGATTCAAAGGAGGAGTTAAAAGAAAAAAACAGAACTCAGGTGATACCTACAGGCGTCTTATTGGGTTTCAACTACAAAGAAAGCATAAGTAATAGATCACACATGAGTAACTCTTCAGCAGTAACACACACAGCACATATGGTAAATGGCTTGAACTTACATAGCGTCTTATCAAGTCCACATGGACCCCAAGGCGCTTTACACTTCGGGCATTCACCCATGCACACACACATTCACAAACTGATGGCAGTAAGCTACATCCACAGCTGCCCTGAGGCACACTGACAGAGGTTTCCAGTATGCTGGAGTTTTAAAACAGATCTCAAAATGTTTTTCTTTTTAATATCTAAAACTGAATTTGCACAAAAAGCAAACTAGTGTTGAGCACGATTAGCACTTTAGGTATTGTGACTGTGAGGAATCATTAATATACTGCTTTACTGTTTGAATCAGCTCGGCATGGTTCTATTCTCACCTCCTCTACATCGTTGTCCAAAGCTATTATGGCCAGTGGTGCAGACAGGCTGGAGTTGGTCGATATGGTGGTTCCTACTGGTGATGCCTCACTGATGTATCCATGGTAACTGATCTCCAGGAAGTAGGGTGCCTGGTTGTTTTCATCCAGAACTTCAATTTGGAGGTTGGCAAAAGCTGGCAGGGGGTGGCCATTGTCCTGCTCAGCCTAAATAACAAATTGGACAATCTTCTGTTATTGACCAGTCAGAAGCACTCTCATACACACTTTACCCTCCTGGGTATAAAAAACAAACAAGAATTTGCTGCAAGGTTGGGAATGTATGTATGTAGATTTCAGCCCAGGCCCCTCTTGCAAATAATTCTGGATCTCAATGGGGTTTTACCTGGTTAAATAAAATAAATGAAATGCAACAGTGGGATAATTTTATCAGTTGGTTTGTAGGGAAAAAACAATCAAACAATCTAAGCCTAGATTGTCTTTGGCTCTTCAGCTCAACAAGTCTGCGGGAAACGTCAGAACTGCACATGTTAAAGGTGAAACCCCACTTTATACTCCACAACTTCAAAGGACTCGTTGGGATGGGATTTATTTCTCCAGTGTGTGTATATATTTGTAATATTTTACCCAACTGCAGTAAAGTTACATCTGCAAATTACAGTCTCATGTGAACTCTCTGGTCCTCCAACACAATTTATATCCCAGAGAGCAACAGTCTTACTAACGTAATAGACAAGGGAAAATAATGCTTGCACCAATATACCAGAGTAGGAAATAAACAAATAAAAAAGCATTTATGATTAAACTTTTGATGTAAGCAGGAACTTGAAGTTTCTGTTTTTGTGCCAGACAGAGTTGGATCCTTGTTTGAACCTTATCTGTGAACTCAGATGAATTTTGTGAGCTTAAAGTGAAAAAAATTGTTATAAGCAGCTCCTACTTTAAAAGGATCCATGATTAGTTGGAACATTAGACTTTATTTGATAAACATATATTTTAACTGTAAAATAAAGACAGTAAAAATACTGTAGGCTTTTTAGTTTTTATAATTTTTAAACTAAACTTTTAAAAATATATTACACGGACAGGGCCATTTTATTTACAAGCAAAGCACTCTGGGTAAATGATGACATGGATAGGTCTTCGATGCGAGACTGCTAGCGAGCTATATCCACCCTGAAGGTTAATCTTGGACAATATCTGACGATTGGCTCTTTTAAATTAAACCAGAGAGCGTTGACAGAGAGGAGAAGGTAGAAATGACTCAGTCTGTAATTGAAAATACGGACGGAGGACAACAGAGCTGCTTCATGGAAGAAGAACCTCAGCTTAGCCTGTTAGCTTTAGCGTTAGCCCCGACGCTATCACCATATATATTAGTTCAGCGCTACACATTCTCCTCTCATCACTGAGGTCCTCCATCCACATGACAGAGAGGGGAACACAAACATGACTCAGCCTGCAACWGAAAATATGGATGGAGGACCTCAGTTTAGCTTGWTTKTCACGCTAGCTCCGAGCTAATACATATAAGGCAATATAGTGTCGGCTCTAGTGCAAAGGCTAACAGGCTAAGTTGAGGTTCTTCTTCCATGAAGCAGCTCTGTTGTCCTCCATCCATATTTTCAGTTACAGGCTGAGTCATTTCTACCTTCTCCTCTCTGTCAACGCTCTCTGGTTTCATTTAAAAGAGTCGATCATCAGATATTGTCCAAGATTAACCTTCAGGGTGGATATAGCTCGCTCACACAGAGGACCTATCCACATCATCATTTACCCAGAATGCTTAGTGTATATAAATAAAATGGCTCCGTCCGTGTTAAAATATATTTTTAAAAATTTACAAAACTAAATAGCCTACAGTATTTTTACAGTCTTTATTTTGCAGTTAAAATAAATGTTTATCAAATAAAGTCTAATGTTACAACTACTCAGGGATCCCTTTAATGAAACCTCATTTACTGTTAGAACTGAAATAACCAAACAATAAAATTGCTAAAAACTTAACATCTGAATCTTTTTTTTTGAATCTGTGTGAATTTCAGATGTTTTCACAATCAACATGAATATTTGCTGTAACTAAATGTGTATGGATGCAATGATTAGATGTTTGTGGATTTCTTGAATGTTTGAATCAGAACTCTGCATTTCTGCTCTGGGAAGGTTTTGGTCTCAGCTTTGCACTGACTGATGTCTATCTTCATAACAGGCAGTTTATATTTTATTCTCAGAATCTATTTGTGTTATCTAAAACACTTCACTGCACCAGCTGATTTGGCTGGATGCCCATGTTTTTTTTTTCTCTGTGAATGTGCTCAACTCTAAATAAAATGACCTGCAGGTCTTTGGTGAAAGCAGCTATACAGTACAGCGCTTTCTAGTAGCTGCAACAATTATGACTAAGGCAAAGAGTGAAGTCAGCTTACAGTTATGAAGCTATAAAATTGTGTGACTGTGGGTGGAAGAAAGGGTCAACAGTACGTTGTACTTACAACATGAACTTCCACATGGAAAATCATTACTCTTTTCTCACTTCAAGCAGGCATTGTCAATTTCTGGACAGTTTTGCAACTTTAACTGTGTGCACAGCTTACAGAAAAGTTTTAACTAACACTATAATCTATTTTAACATCACTGTTTTTATAGAGAAATCAGGTCTGACAAATTGGATGGGACATTTTAAGTGGCACAAATCTAACAGTATTCCTTTCAGAAACTATATTTTAGAAAAGCAAAATAACTACGCCTGAGTTAGCCAAGTACATGCTGAAAAGTGCTTTTTTTTTCTTACAAAGATTTGGATTGTGCAACTAAGCAAGCCAGATTGGTTCATCCTTTGAATAGATACAAGTCAGCATCATTTGCCGGTGGTGCGCCTGTTCTTGCTCGTTTGCCCATCGTTTCTGCTAACACGAAATTTTCCAGGTGACATTATTTAGCAGGAACACTTTCACAGCATTCTGGGCTTAATGCCACATGAGATAACCGCTGTTTGTTTGAAGAAAATTCAAACAAGCCAGGATATTTTTCCACACTACACCAGAAATGAATGGTTCGCTCAGACCAGTTTCCTGTGCCGACGGCGCTGTGAAAACAGATACGGCTGTAGAGTACTTGTCTAAACCTAAATTAGGAGAGACTAAAATACTTCTGTGYAACTTTAGAGAGTAGGAGCAGACATTGTTTACTTTTTCACTCCAGCTATTTTCTTCTCCATCAATGTAGTTTCAGTAACAATAGCCATATAATACACCCCAGTATATACTGGGTATGTATCAGATAACTACCAAGAACAGAGAAAGCGAGCAACAGGTTTTTCTGTGCTGTTGCAGCTTGTTACCATGTCCTTATCAGGGTACTTATCTGATAATGGCCCGGTGCTTACTTTGTATGTACATCTACCCAGTAAAGTACAGCATAACAAGTCACTTGATTGTAGTGGGCTGTACTATTATGTATTGCTTGGAATTGGAAATGAATGAACTGGTAATTTAAAAATCTAAAGAAGTGTAAGTGTAAGTGTAAGTGTAAGTGTAAGTGTAAGGTAAGGTAAGTGTAAGGTAAGTGTAAGGTAAGGTAAGGTAAGTGTAAGGTAAGGTAAGGGTAAGGTAAGTGTAAGGTAAGGTAAGGGTAAGGTAAGTGTAAGGTAAGGTAAGGGAAGGTAAGTGTAAGGTAAGGTAAGGGTAAGGTAAGTGTAAGGTAAGGTAAGGTAAGGTAAGGTAAGGTAAGGTAAGGTAAGGTAAGTGTAAGGTAAGGTAAGGGTAAGGTAAGTGTAAGGTAAGGTAAGGTAAGGTAAGGTAAGGTAAGGTAAGGTAAGGTAAGTGTAAGGTAAGGTAAGGGTAAGGTAAGTGTAAGGTAAGGTAAGGTAAGGTAAGGTAAGGTAAGGTAAGGTAAGGTAAGTGTAAGGTAAGGTAAGGGTAAGGTAAGTGTAAGGTAAGGTAAGGTAAGGTAAGGTAAGGTAAGGTAAGGTAAGGTAAGTGTAAGGTAAGGTAAGGGTAAGGTAAGTGTAA